AGAAGCAGATACGCCCAGAGGAGGAAGCGCCAGATAGGGAAGTAACGTGCTGGCCGAATGCCCGTGTGTGTATGTGCTGGTGGCGCGAGTGCGTACGGAAGTACGTAGTTGGTCGTGCTGACCAAATACACGCACATACGTATCTACACCACATCAAACATATACGCGGAAGGGGCGTGGTGACGAGTCGTGCGACTACCGTGGGAATCTGCACCAGGTGCACCCGGTCACACACGGTTTTTCGAAGGTGTGTCTGCCTCGACCCGCTTCTGACTCAGTCGGGGAGGCGCAGGAGCAGTGCAAAAACGATTGACAGGTCAGAGACCACCACGTGGGCCTCGTGCTATGCAAGCAATGCACTTTGGCGCAAAGTATTGGTCAGCTGAATGCGATTTATGGAAAAGCGAACATGGCTTAGAACACAGAAAACATAGCAGCCTTTATGCTTTGAGAAATTTTTTTTACAAATCCAGTTCACAGTAAACAGCAAATATTTCGTAAAATTACAAAGTATTGCGATATATCATAAATTGGATTTTGATAGATTTTTTTTGAATAATCATTGTGAATTGGACTCAGGTGAAGCTAATATAAGTGGTATTCTAAATTTCTCGGTTAAGTTCTCAGAAACGTATCAATTATAAGTTCTCAGAACATATGGATTAGAAACTTTGAACTGTGGTATTTGAGCAAGTTGAAAAAAAAGATAAGCAACACCTCTACTGTTTTATATCAAACATCCAAGCATAGAAATAAGCGAATGTTTGAATTTTCGTAATTTTGCCCCGAACAGATGATTGAATCAAAAGGCTACACAGCTTATGTGTAGTTTATGTTCCAACACTATGTTGATATCCTATTCCTATTTGAATGTCCACCATCAAGAATTTTATAAAAATTAAAACTAATTGTTATTGAAAACCTACACGCTTTGGGAAAAAATTAAAAAGTTTTAATAACAATTATTCAGTTTCTTCCAAAGCACTGCTTAATTGGATTACATGTGGATAACCGTTAGAATTATATCACACTTTTCTCTATAACTAATGCCTTGTCTTCGTACTGAGTGAATTGTAGAGCCTCATAAAAGTTTGTTCAGCGTTATAATAGAGAATACAAACTCATCCTTTTAACGACTTCCTCTCGACTATGTCTTGAATAAAAAGAATAGCGAAAATAAAGAGCATATGTGATGGGTGGGACTAGTCACGGTATGAGGTGTTGATGTGCTAGCTTGAGGGTTGTTCTATCTGGTCGCAGGAGCCAGGAGTACAATTTGGTGATGGGGGGAGACGCCGCGGAGGTCCGCTGAGTGGCACTGCCCGTCAGTGGCTAGCACCGACCGCAGGCGCTGCTCGACCGCCCTGGGGGGTGAGTGAGCTTCTTCCAATGGCAACGCATTTTACTCACTACTTTTGACATGGACTCAAAATCCTTTGATTGGCCCCTTGCAAGAAGTGGAGTACAAATATACATTTACCACTGACACTGACTGGTTATTGATAACTCGAGAGCGGCGCCGTGGTTTGAAGGGGAGAGTTATAGGCGCAGAATAAAACCCTGAATGAATGAAGGTGATCCGGGTGGGCGACGAGCTTCGTGCGGGTGCCAGCATCGCTCAGTGGTATACGGGTCACCACTAGCGGTAGCGGGTACGGTCGCGGCGGTTGGCACTAACACCACGCACCTCCTGACACGCGGGTCGCTAGGATCTAGGCACGGATGTGACCTATAAGGCCACATCCTTCAAAGGCTTTAACTCTGATTTATAGTTCTTTCTTAGACGAAACTATGAAGGATTGACTTTAATTTATGACTGTGAGATCGAAAATTTTCTTGGGTGCTTCTATGTTTTTAGTAATTATCAATTACTGTAGAATAGCTTAATTAGAAAGAAGGACTGCGCTCACGCTGCTCCTCGGCTCTATCCTTTAATAAGCAACAAAGACAATAAATAAATAGGAGGCTTTAAAGATTGCAAAATTTGTGCAATTTATCGTTAATATTTTAGTATTTTAATATCTAAGTTAATTTAGAGTAGGATTTCCTCAAAATCAATCTTTTCCATTTCCTCCATAAGTTTACAAGCGATTTGATATTAGGAAGGTTAATTCATAGGCAAGATCAGTTCAACTCGAGTTTGATTGTTATACGCAAAGTTTTAAAAATTGGCTAAAACTAACGTGATATCCTTCGCTACAGTAGTAGCAGGAAAGAGAAGAATTTCACTGTGATCAAGAAGAGTAAAGCCCATTAATAAATTGGACTAATCATTTCATAAAATAAATATTTACTTACTAGTCAAAGTGGATGAGATAGCTTTATTTCGCAGCAACAGGTCTGCATCAGTTGAGTTTGCAAGTTCCTTTGAACTCTATATACTACACAGAGATATTTTGCTGTTTCTTCATCTCACAACTGTGGGAAAAAATAAGCAATTAATTATTTTTGAGATGCGGTTATTGAGATTTCAAACCATACACATCCTGGACAATCCTGCTAATCTTACACAACTATTATAATTTGTTTACAACAGTCTGCTCTTCCACCTAGTTGTGTGTGGAGCAAAGGCGATATTTCCTCGAGCCCTCGCAAGTCATCAGTCCGTATCAGGGTGCGTCAAGCGAGCAGCCTGCGACATCAACGTCGCCGGCTGGTGCGAGCGAACACCCGAAACAGCTGATAGTGACGAGGCGCTGGCTGGCACGCGTCCCTTCTGCACTTCCAGCGCCAAATGCACGGATCGCAGAACCCAAGTATTGGAAAAAGGTACCCCGCCAGGGAAGCGTAGGATGCAATAAAGCTGTGGCAAAATATGTAATAGAGGAAGCGCCTGCCTTGTTCATTAGCACTCGAAGTTCGTCTTCAAAGGTTTTAGCCATTGCTGGTGGGAGAACATGGAGTGACTGACCATTCGAGGGAGAATCCAAGACATTTGCATCTAGAATTTTCCTCATTGCGTAAACCCAAACAATTCTGCAGAGAAATTCAAAGTCTCGTTAAGCTTAACAAAGAATGCGAGCTTCACCTCCTATGGGAGCATCCAAAATTCGATGTCGTGCAACAACCATGTCGATTTTCTTTGTCCATGGATTCACATAGGCGGACCATTCAGTATCGGCACGCAACAGTGCTCCATTGTAGGCGACGAAACGAAGTGGCGCAACACTTTTCACAACTTTTCCCCTTGAATTGTGCACTGAAA